GGCAGGAGGCCCTGTGGGTGGGACAGGAGGCCCTGTGGGTGGGGCAGGAGGCCCTGTGGGCGGGGGCGGGAGGCCCTGTGGGTCCTTGAACCTGAGACCGGCCTGGGAAGTGGGGGACACCTCACCTCCGGTGCTGACAGGACCCTGCTCCGAGGCCAGCCCCGGGAGACTCCAGGCCACGCTGGGGTGAGGGGCAGAGGCACCACCTCCTGGCCGAGCCCCGGGGATGCTCAGTGCAGAGGAGGGGGATGTGGGGGCACAGCCTGCCCGTCCCTCCGCTCCACCTCAGGCCTGGAGCCGCCGGCAGGCACGGAGACGAGGAGCTTTCACCGGTTTCCCTGGGTCTCCCATGAGGAGTAACACCACCAGCCCTTCCCGGAGGCAGGGATCCCCCGTGTGCAGGCTGGGGGGTGGTTTTGTTCTCGGTGCAGAGCTCTGAGCTCCTGCCTGTGTGCTTCCTCAGAAACGCCGTGTGGGCCCTGCGCTTGCAGGAGCTGGGGGGCCGGGAGCCACCCGAGGCCGACCAGGCCGCATACTCACTGCTGCAGCGTCTCGAAGCCTTGCTCCTTGTACAGCAGCTCCTGCTTCATCTGCGAGAGCTCCCGCTTCAGCTTCTTAACCTTCGGGGAGAAATCAGTGTGAGCACGCGTGTGTGTGAATAATTAGCAGCCCTGCTTTAAAAGCTAACCCGTCAGTAAACTATTAAACACAGGAACATGGCCCTGAGTTGAACATTCACTCTGCTGGTTTCACCTGGACATGAATTCTGTGCCTGGTGGTTAATTATGTGTAAGTTATCCGTGGCCAATGTGACTGCGGGTATTAACCAGTTAGCAGCGCTCCTGGGCGCGCCCCCTCACCACTGTCTCCAGTTTGTGATAAGCAGCCGGGAAGGGAGAGGCGAGCTCCACACCACAGCCTCGCTAACCCTGCCTCTCGGACCCGCCAGCAGTGCGCCCCCCGGCTCCCGCACATGCTGTTCCCTCTGCGGGAGCACGCTCCCCTCCGCTGGCCGGTGGCTCAGGTCTCAGACAGCACAAGCCCTGACTGAGCTACAACCGTATGTCCCTGGCCTGCCTTCCCACAAGAAGCAAAGCTAACTCCTCTCTGAAGGATGACAAGGTCATCCCACGCCTTAACCTATCCTCATGTGTTTCCACACATACGGCTCTCGCTACAAAGAAACAGCTGTCAGGGGTCAAATACCGACCCCAAATCAAAACCATGGCTTAGACCACATTGAAGAATCCAACCTATAAGAAACCTAGGTATTATCCCAATCAGCACACGAAACTGAAAAAGTGCCGTATTTTCTAGCGTATAAGACGACTTTTGAAAAAGGAAAAAAAGTCAACCGAGAATCGGGGGCCATTCATTAAAAATTTAATTAATAAAAGACCTGGTGTTGCCGCGGAAATGGGGGGGTCGTCTTATACAGCTTATACAGCGAATATGGGCCTAAACCTATGTTTTAACTGTAAAATTAGGGGGTCGTCTTAAACGCCGGAAAATGCCGTAAGTGTGATTATTTTGTTGAAAAAGATTACATATCAATGTTCAGAATTTGGGCAAGTATCCAAGCAATTACACAGAAATCTTAGGGCTGAAACCGTACCCTCAGCCGCGTGGTGGAGATCTCCGCTTTCAGAATGTCGGGGTCGTACTTGGTGCTGGACGAGGACCCGGAGAACACTTCCAGGGAGAGAGGAAACAGGCTGCGTCACCGGTGAGGGCTCAGAACTCACACACTCTACAAACCAGTCCCCTGGTGCACGGGACTGACTGCATCGTTTCCCTACTGTCATCCATCAGACGCCTATGAAAAGTAATCTTCAAGCCTTCATAATTAAAAAAAAAAAAAAAAAAAAAAAAAAAAAAAAAAAAAAAAAAAAAAAACTCAAGAAAGCCGAAGCTGGTGTGGCTCAGTGGATAGAGTGTCGGCCTGCAGACTGAAAGGTCCCAGGTTCGGTTCCAGTCAAGGGCATGTACCTTGGTTGCGGGCACATCTCCAGAAGGGGGTGTGCAAGAGGCAGCTGGTCGATGTTTCTCTCTCATCGATATTTCTAACTCTCCCTTCCTCTCTCCCTTCCTCTCTGTAAAAAAATCAATAAAATATATTAAAACAAAACAAAAAAAGCAACTCATGAAAGACACGTGTCAGGGACCCTGGTACTGGCTTTCTTCTGAGTTCACCAGTGAATAGAGTCTGAGAGGTCCCTGTGGCACATGCTGTCTATCAGCTTCGTGTCACCCCAAAAGCCACCGTCTCAGGGGACGTCTGAGCCACGTGCTGCTGCTTCCAGCAAGGCCTTCCCGGTCCCGTTTGGGAGGTGAGGGTGCCAGGGGAACGTCGTTCCAATGGCCTGGTTCCTCCCACGACAAAGAGTGTCAGGGCAGCCAAACGGCTACTCACCTGCCTTCCTCTGAAAGAGCAAAAACGAACTCAAAAATGAATAAAGGCCGGCAGGCAGAGGGGGAGCAAACACAGGAAGAATGCGTGGCCCCCAAGAGCGGCCTCACTGAGAGGTCTCCCCCACTGAGCAGGAACAGGGCCTGGAGGAAACCCCAGCGGCCTGGGCCTTCCCCCTGTGCAGTGTGGCCCGGCTCCGTGGCAGTGGCTCCGTGGCAGTGGCCCGGGTTCCTGGCAGTGGCCCGGCTCCGTGGCAGTGGCCCGGGCTCCGTGGCAGTGGCCCGGGTCCGGACAGTGGCCCGGATTCGTGGCGGCCACGCGGACGGACTTACAGCTCGTGTGGGAGCTCGACTTCTCCTTGTAGGCGTCGTTCAGCCGCACGTACTCGTCCAGGGCCAGGGCCAGCCGCTGCTCCTTCACGTGGTACAGCTCCTTCTGCGTGCGCAGCGCGTCCCGCGCCACCGAGAGGTAGTCCTTGAGCATCTTCTCCTGCTCCCCCCGCCATTGCTTCCTGGGGTCTTCGATCTGCGTGGTCTCTGGGAGCACAGGAGGGTCATTCTTTAGCATTTGTGCTGTTGTTATTATTATTACTGTTTAAGCTTTTTTAAAAACGTAGCTGGCCTCTAGGTAATGCAATAGTATACGCGAAGGGACGTCCACAGGAATGGGACAGTTTTTGCTTTATGTTGCCCATCCCTCCCCTCCAGCCTCCCCTTTCAGGTCCTGTCAACAGTGTGTTGTCCCTGTGAGCCCAGCAGACACCTCGGCCACAGTGAGAGCCCACAGCGGGGATGGGTCCCTCCTCTCAGAGTCCCCGGCCCCCAGCCCCTAGGAAGAAAACGCCACCTGGGCCAGCATTCACGGCCCTGCATGGCCCGAACCTGCCCACCTTCCTGGGCACACGCTTCCACGTGCACACACACTTCCATGCGTGCGCACACACGCACACACACACACACACACACACACACCCATACACACACACACACACACCTCCATACACACACACACACACACACATACACACCTCCATACACACACACACACACACACACCTCCATACACACACACACACACACACACACCTCCATACACACACACACACACACACACACCTCCATACACACACACACACACCTCCATACACACACACACACACACCTCCATAGACACACACACACACACACCTCCATACACACACACACACACACACACACAACCTCCATGCACAAACACGCTTCCATGCACACATACACGCTTCCATGCACACACACACCTCCATGCACACACACACACACACACACGCTTCCATGAACACACACACCTCCATGAACACAGACTCCTCCATGCACACACAGCCCTCCATGCACACACACACCTCCATACACACACACATACACACACATACCTCTATGCACACACACACTTCCATGCACACACACACACACACACACGCTTCCATGCACACACACACCTTCATGCACACACGGGCTTCCATTCACACACACACACTTCCATGCACACACACCTACACACACACACACACACAAACACACACCTCCATGCACACATGCTTCCATGCACACACACACCTCCATGCACGCACACACCTCCATGCACGCACACACCTCCATGCACACACACACACCCACACACATACACACACACCTCTATGCACACACCTCCATGCACACACACTTCCATACACACACACAAAAACACACCCCCATGCACACACGCTTCCATGCACACACACACCTCCATGCACGCACACACCTCCATGCACGCACACACCTCCATGCACACACACCTCCATGCACACACACACTTCCATGCGCACACACACCTCCATACACACACACACACACACCCACACACATACACACACACCTCCATGCACACACCTCCATGCACACACACTTCCATACACACACACAAACACACACACACACCTCCATGCACACACATTTCCATGCACACACACACCTCCATGCACACACACACACACCCTCACATACCCACACACCCTCACATCCCCACACACCGCCTCTCACATACCCCACATACACCCTCACCCCCACACACACACCCTCACACACACACCCCACACACACACCCTACATCCCCACACACCACCCCTCACACACACATCCCACACACACCCTCACATATACACACACTCCCTCACACACCCCCCGCACACACCCTCACGCGCACCCAGAGCTGCGCTCCCCCGTCCTGCGCCAGCACCTCCTGGGCCAAGCGAGGACCCGGGAGGAAGCCAGCCTGACAGGCGGTCGTGGAGAGAGGCCAGCCCTGCCCTGAGGAGCTCCCCCTGCGGGCGGGCACACAGACGGACGGACGGACGGACAGACGACACTGTCTCTCTCGGCCCCGAACCCCCGCTCTACACACAGGCCGGGCTCCTGCCGGGACGCCCCGAGGCCGTCCGGGGGAGGGCCTCCCGCCCGGACACTCACTGTGGACGTGGTCGATGTAGTAGACGCCGATCTGGGGGTCGAACCCCGCTTCCCAGCCCCACGGCAGCTCATCCCCGACACAGTCCGCGAACGACAGGGGCTTCGTCAGCCTGCAAGAGAGCGGACGGCTCAGTGACCCGCCGCCGCCCGGCCACCCCGCGGCTCCCCCCACTCTGCGCTTCCAGTTTGTACACTCCGTTCGAAACCTTAAAGAAAGAAAAGGGACATCCAAAATGCAGCAGTGAGTCCTAACTCCCTTCGGACAGCTCACAGCTTCACCCTGGGCGGTGCCTGCGCACAACAGACAGCAGGCTGCGTGAGGAGCGCTCCCCGCCAAGAGCCGAGAGCCGAGGGGCCAGGCGGGTCCCACCCCGCCGTCCCATCCCCCACCCCCTCATCCCCCATCCCCCATCCCGCCGTCCCATCCCCCACCCCGCCGGCCCATCCCCCGTCCCATCCCCCATCCCCCCGTCCCATCCCCCATCCCGCCGTCCCATCCCCCACCCCCTCATCCCCCATCCCCCATCCCGCCGTCCCATCCCCCACCCCCTCATCCCCCATCCCCCATCCCGCCGTCCCATCCCCCACCCCCCCGTCCCATCCCCCATCCCGCCGTCCCATCCCCCACCCCCCCGTCCCGTCCCCCATCCCGCCGTCCCGTCCCCCATCCCCCACCCCCCCGTCCCGTCCCCCATCCCGCCGTCCCGTCCCCCATCCCCCACCCCGCCGTCCCGTCCTCCATCCCCCCATCCCATCCCCCACCCCGCCGTCCCACCCCCATCCCGCCGTCCCATCCCCCATCCCCCATCCCGCCGTCCCATCCCCCATCCCCCATCCCCCCGTCCCTCCCCCATCCCCCACCCCCCCGTCCCGTCCCCCATCCCCCATCCCGCCGTCTCATCCCCCATCCCCCATCCCGCCGTCCCGTCCCCCATCCCCCACCCCGCCGTCCCGTCCTCCATCCCCCCATCCCATCCCCCAACCCACCGTCCCACCCCCATAACCCCATCCCATCCCCCATCCCCACCGTCCCATCCCCCATCCCCCATCCCCCACCCCGCCGTCCCATCCCCCATCCCCCCATCCCATCCCCCATCCCGCCGTCCCGTCCCCCATCCCCCCATCCCATCCCCCAACCCGCCGTCCCACCCCCCACCCCGCCATCCCATCCCCCCACCCCGCCATCCCATCCCCCATCTCACCGCAGAGACCCGCCCGTCCCATCCCCCATCCCATCCCCCATCCCGCCGTCCCATCCCCCATAACCCCATCCCACCCCCACCCCGCCGTCCCACCCCCCATCCCCCATCCCCCCCCACCCCGCCGTCCCATCCCCCATCCCCCATCCCCCCCCACCCCGCCGTCCCATCCCCCATCCCCCCATCCCACCCCCACCCCACCGCAGAGAGAGACCGGCCATGTGAAATCACCCTCCAGCACCTCTCTGACAAGGTGCCTCCAGGCACCCAGCCCTCAGCGTAGGGTGCTCTTAGTAAGTCACAGTCCTGAACACTCTGAGAGGAGACACAAATCCCCTATTTTTACAAGTATCTTGTGTGTAACCGTCATTGAACAAAAACGTCTCTTTCATATTTTTATTAATTTCAGAGACATACGAAGTATTTGCATCTCAGTGTGGTCTCCCCTTTTGGAACTGGAAAACCGACGGGAAACTAGTCTCCGAAGCAGCGGGCGGGTTTCAGGCTTCGCTGTGGCCGATTGCCCCTCTGCCCCTTCGTCCTGAGACCTCCCTGGGCTGAGAGCAGCGAACGCCGGACCAGGGATGGCCTGCTGGGGAGCGGCCAGCGGTGGACACAGCTTCTGACAGCACTGGCCCGGCCCACCGGCGAAATCGCCTGGAACCCTCTACCCATGCACACGGACTCCAGCTCCGGTGTGGCCGACGGAATCACCCGCCGTTTGCAGAATCACATCCTCCACCAGAAGGACAAACGGCGCCATTTCCCCTCAGGATGCCGCGAGAGCAGTGAAAGGAGGGAACCCCTTTCTCCCAGGCCCTCCTCCGAGGACCCAGCCCCACGGATGGAAGGAAGGAAGGAAGGACGGTCTCTCCTCCCCTCCGTCTTCCCTTTGCCTGGAGTCCGCTCTGAGGACGCTCCAGAGCCCTGACCTTCAAAGCCAGTGCAGCCCGGACTGGCTCCCGGCAAGCCCCTCCCCGACTCCTCCCTGGACCCCAGCTTGCTCCTCCTGTCCCCACACTTTACTGCTCTGGCGTGGGTGCGAGGAGAGGAGGGGATGCTCCAGAGGGGACAGGTAACGGCCAAGACGCGCTGTGATGGGTAATGCGAGCACGGTGCCTGCACGGTCCCATGGGCGCCCCCGAGGGACCGAGCCACTGTCCTCACCGCCGCGGCACCGGCTCCGGGGACTGGTTGGAAATGACCTTCCTGGACCTGCAGGCGGCCTCGGGACCAGAACCCCGGGCCCAGCGGGCGAGCTGCGCCTGGCTCTCGGGGGAAGGCTGGGGGTGGGGACCGCTGGCACAGGAGGGAAGGCGCACGTTTGGGCCGGAGGGACCTGCACAGAGCCGTTCTGTCACTGACCTGTGCTCAGCCTAGGGCGGGTTCGTCACCTTAGAATCCCATTTCCCAACCTATCGCCTAAGAAGAACTGAACAGCGGAATGCCTGACACGGGGTAAGCTTCGCCATATACTGGGCGGGTAAAACGAACCTCAGACACAGTAAGCAATCTGTCCAAATAAGGCACTCTGCCATGTTTACGCTGTAAACCTGGAGTCAATTTGCACTCCATCTGAGTCGGAAAAAAACACCCCTGCGTTCTTAGAATTGTGCTCAAATTCCATGTTGTAGAAACTGTCCGGGGAAATAAGTTTTGTCTGGACAAAGGAATTGGATACTATACCAACATCCCCTCACCACAGGGAGCGGCATGGCTCCGTGCTGTCTGCACGGCCGGTCTCTGCCCCCTCCTGTCTGCACGGCCGGTCTCTGACCCCCTCTGGTCTACACGGCCAGTTTCTGCCCCCTCCCGTCTACACGGCCAGTCTCTGACCCCCTTCTGTCTGCACGGCCGGTCTCTGACCCCTCCCGTCTGCACGGCCGGCCTCTGACCCCCTCCTGTCTACATGGCCAGTCTCTGTCCCCCCTCCCATCTACACGGCCGGTCTCTGACCCCCTCCCATCTACACGGCCAGTCTCTGACCCCCTCCCATCTACACGGCCAGTCTCTGACCCCCCTCCCGTCTACACGGCCGGTCTCTGACCCCCTCCCGTCTACACGGCCGGTCTCTGACCCCCTCCCGTCTACATGGCCGGTCTCTGACCCCCTCCTGTCTACACGGTGGTCCCTGACCACCTCGATGAAGCCAGTCAGGTAAGCCCTGAGCCTCGATGTCCCGCATGACATTCTGCCTGAAGATTCTCTTCCCCCGACGCCTTCAGCTACACTGTCCGAAAGGCACGTGTGTCCTCAGAAAAGGACAAATAGGAAACCCCGGAAAGGGTGCGTTTCAACGACAGGAGAGGTACCGGGCCAGCCAGTCCTGGCGCCAAAGGCGCGCAGAGCCCGGATGTGGCATGAGCATGATCGGGCGCCGGCATCAGGAGTCACCACGCCCGGACACCTGCTCAGCTACCAGCCCGGAACACGACTCTGCCTGGAAAGGCTCCAGCTCTCCCCTCAGCTGTGCAGCAGCAGAAAGCCGTTCACCGCCTGTCCCCGCTCGGCGGTGGAATTACATTTCCCAGGTACCTGTCCCTCTGCACGCGGTTAAACCCTCGGGCGCCCCGTTCCTGGAAGGTCTCACGTGAGCCTTGTTCTGCAGCGTCGCTTCCGACATAGGAGCCGACCTTTACTTCCTGCGTCTGGGCGAGCAGGAATCTCTTCTCCACCCTATCGCTCAGTAAGCCCGTTAACCCCGTGGTTCCCAACCTTCCTAATGCCGCAACCCTTTAATACAGTCCCTCACGCTGTGGTGACCCCCAACCATAACATCATTTTCGTTGCTACTTCCTAACTGCCGTGTTGCTACTGTTATGCATCGTAATGTAAATATCTGTGTTTTCCGATGGTCTTAGGCTCATGACCCACAGGTTGAGAAAACCGCTAGCAGGGTCGCCTAGGACCACCAGAAAACACAGATACTCACATTACGATCCTTTTATTAGCAGGATCGCAGCACAGCCCAGTGCTGAGTTTTGTTTGCTCCCTGAGAATGTTCTTCTGTTTATACCTTGTCCTTTGGGTAAGCATTAAACCCTAACATTTCGAAACGAACCCGATTTTATTTAATGCAGTGGTTCTCAGCCTTTCTAACCACACACGGAGAGGAAACACAAAACAAGAAGAAATAATGGGTGTGTCTCAAGTGAAAAACAATGTGAGCCCAACACACACAGCAGACAGAGAGCAACAACGTTGATGAGCTTCTGTGCCTTCCTCTTGCTGTGTGCAAAGAGGCCCTGACATACCCCACCTCCGTGGGCGTTAGGGAGGAAGAACGGACGGAGCTGGTTAGCGTCGTTTCCCACAAAGCAGCGACATCCGGCACAAGGCCCAGCGTAATGGAGCCTTCCTGCAGAACTCCAGAGACGACGATCTGCTTAGCAGTGTCCTCTTGCACACCGTAACCGCAGTAAAAAATTAAAAAAAAAGGTAACTTTCTGCAGCTCTTTGCCAAAGTTCACGCATAAAACTTGAACTTGGCGTGTCATTTCCTCTTGGTCAGACACTGTCTCCTTCATTTACACAATCTGTCCCTGAGTGTCACTGTCACGTCACGGACACCTGTCCTACCCGTGAGGTGCCACACGTGCACATATTCACTCGCCAAGATTTCATGACGGGATGGCAGAGCCTCAAAAGGCTGCACACACAACGGCTATATGGCCCCGCCATTCCTTCTGAGGTCAGACCTAAAAGACCGGAAGACAGGTACCCACACAACTACATATGCACACACGTTCACGGCAGCAGTGGCCACAGTAGCCAAAAGGTAGAAGCCACTCAAATTTCTGTCACTGGATATGTGGGTAAACAAAGTGTGGCACATACATGCAATGGCGTATTATTATTCCCTGCTACCATGTGCACGGACCTCCAAAACATGCTCAGTGAGAGCAGCCGAC